AAGAACTTTTAAAATCTTTGCATTCGTTTTTAAGAAATTTTGATTTAAAAAAATGTTTAATTTGAACTTTGACCCTAACTAACTTTTGTAATTGGTGTCTCTGCAAAAGAAGAAATATACCGTTATAGTCATCTCAACGATCTTTATCGATCCCCATAAATTAGATTTGAGAATCGTAGCTATTCTGCATTTAAGCCTAAATTTTGCTCAACTTCTGAGCAACGCCAAAGTTCTATGTGGACGGGCCTTAAAAAAGAGTATATGCTTCGTTATTATTCGTATGTATATGAATACCCCACATTCCAGAATTTCATAGAATTCTGAAAGGTCTCACAATTTTTTTAAGAATTTTCTTTAAGAAATCGTACAGAAATTTCTTTACTAGTTCTTTTCAACCGCTTCATATGTTTTTCTTTAAAGATTCCTAAAAGAATCGCAACAAATTTCCGATACACTTAAAGATTTCGGAAGCATTTGTTTGCAGGGTATATATTTACGTATATGTGTATGTATACGCGAATATGTAAACAAAGCAAAACATACGATAATTTGACACAAGCGTGCTCATAAGAAGAAGCAAAGCTTCTATCGCTATCACCTGTAATTGATGCGCCTTGGTTCGTGGCTATTCGGAGTGAAGCTCTACCCAGAACTACAGCGGGCGACCATGAATCAAAAATACAAGATCACGTAAGAACCAGTGTTGCCAGAACTTTTTGGGCCGACCGGCTAGATTGGCAAAAAAAAGCGGCTAAAAACGGCTAAAATGTTTTAGTGAAAATTCACATGCTTTATTTAAATAAATCGCAAGAAACGAAAGACTAGTTAACACCATTAATTTATATCGAGTGTATATTCCTCATCATCAAATGAATCACTATTGTATATATCACCTGAATTCATTAATTTTAAGAGATCGTCATCTACAGTAAAATTATGGCAGCATTTTTCTTCAAGTTTTAAACCGTATCTTATATATGTATAAAATAGCGTTTAACGTTTTAACGCACATTGGATTTCTTTGCTTAGTTTTTATTATATTCATTGAACTAAATATTCGCCCTACTTCTGCATTACTTATAGGCAAAACAAGAAAACTAAAAACTAGGTTGGAAAGGTCAGCAAAAGGGTTTTCTCCTAGGGCATTTCGAAATTGATAAACTTAAAATTTTACAGTTGAGTCTAAATTACTCCAGGTATGTAACGTTAACCGTTGCCATTGCATCTCTATGGATGTTATTTCGTCGGCATTATATTTGTTTTTGTTGCTGTAGTTGAACAAATACTTTTGGTTTAATTACTCTTAATGCATTTCCAACCGAAAAAAAGTAAATTTTTTTAGTGTGGCAATATTTGAGGGGGGCGTTGGCGTAATTCCTTTATTAAAGTGATAATAAAATAGCGACCATTTTCTCGAATTATTTTCTCGGCTTCGTGGTCAAAAGCGTTTGTGCTTACTTTTGTTTTTAAATACTCTTCAAAACTGTGATAAAACTGAGGAAATGGAGCAAGGTATGGTTCCAACGGGGAGCATATAGGATCAAATGTGTCCGCGCTAATAACCACTAGAGAGGATAGATGCGAAAGTAAAACATTGAGTTCATTAAAAATCTTCATTGGGTCTGCATTATTGCTTTCGAACAACTTGTTTACTTTTTGCACCTGCAAATTAGGCAAATAGTAAAATCGGCTAAAAACGGCTAACTTTTTTTTACAAACCGGCTAACAAATCGGCTGCCGGCTAGATCGAATTTTCTCCGGCTAGTTGCTATCAAAACCGGCTAAATCTAGCCGGAAAACGGTTAAAATGGCAACGCTGGTAAGAACGCGACGTTGTATTTGTAACTGGTTTTGAGAAAAAAGTTTGCGAAAGCGGGTTCGTCAGCTGAGCGTTTGTTTACATCACAAGCACCACTATTTTACACTTTTATTCAAGTAAAGAAGAGTTAATTCAACATGACAACACATTTTAAAGCATTTTGTTGCATCATTTTACCTAAATTGTGCGTTTAAAGTGGCTGACAATAATTTTGGCTAATTTTGGTTTTCGTTGTTTTCTTTGCCTTGTTTACTTTTCACTCGTTTTCCAGTGAAACAAGATGGCGTAGAACCCGCTAAAAAATCGACTTTTTTCACTCTCTTGTTCTTACGTGATCTTGTGTCTTTCGTTCATGGCGCGCGACGGTAAAGTGATCGGCGGTTAGAGAACAGCTGTTCAATTGCCGCAGTGAAATCCGTCTGGGTAAACACAATGCGCGTTCCTTATCTCCCAGAAATAGTCAGAAAAAGTCCGAAGTAGTCAGATTTAGTCCAAAAAGCGTTCCTTAACTCAGAAATGACAGCAAAAATGAGAGAGCAACAGTCAGTGAGAGCGACTCTCATCAGTCCGAAGTAGTCAGATTTAGTCAGAAGAATTTTTTCTGGCAAAATCCTGAAAAGTGTCAAACTCAACTGAATTTAAATTAACGGAAATTAAAGAATACGCAAAAAGTGAGAATAATCTAAAAAGTAAAAGAAATGAATTGAAATTGGAAGGAGGCAAAAAATAATTGATATAGCAAGTGTTTATTGTGCTTGTGCTTGTGTGAATGTGTTTTGTACATACATTTCTGTGCTTATTTGACGTTAGTTTTGTTGTTGCCATTCTTTGGACTAAAAATTTGGTTTTTTGCGTTCCTTTACTTTTCCTGTTACTCTCTTTTAGTGAGCGCATTTTGCTTACGCTCTGGCATTTTGACACTTTTCAGATTTTAGTCCAAAAAGATAAGGAATGAACCTACAGTCGCGACGGACAACGGCATTTGTCAAATGTATTTTTATTTGGAAATAATCATTGAAGTGAAATGTTTATTCCGTACGTGCGCATATGTAGATTTGCTTGAAATAAAAATGAATGCAAACAATTGAAAACTTCTGAAAATAATAAAAATTATTACAATCAACACTCAATCGATATTTTGCCGCCCCACCGGACGGTAAAAATAGGAATAAAGTTAAATCAACCCATCGCAATAGACAGCTTAGCCGAGTCAATGCACCAAAATTAACCCAAACCGAAAAACGTCGGGGGTGAGAACGCTTCACCGCAATTATGTGCCATTCCATATTGTCACCTGGGCTGAAGATCGACCTATCCTGGTAGCAAGTTCAAAAACGCCCTATCTCAGAAAACTTTTCAAGAACGCCCAACTTCAGGAATTTGTTGAAAAACACCCTACTTCAGAATTTGGTTGAAGAACGCCCCATATCGGCTGAAAATACATTGAAAATGTGCTAAGATGCTATGAACAAATAAAAGATCACGCAAAGACGCGACATTGTATTTGTAACTGGTTTTGAGAAAAAATTCGTGGAAGCGGATCCGTCAGCTGAGCATTTGTTTACATTACAAGTACCACTATTTTACACTTCTTTAACTAAAGAAGAGTTTATTCAACATGACAACACGTTTTAAAGCATTTTTATGACAAGTTTTGTTAGTTTTTGTTTTCGTTGTTTTCTTTGCTTTGTTTACTTTTCGTTAGTTTTCCAGCGAAAGCAGATAGCGTAGAACCCGCTTAAAAATCAACTTTTTTCATTCCCTTGTTCTTGCGTGATCTTGTGTCGTTGGTTCATGCTGATAGGGCTTTCGCACGCAGCGATTTTTCAGGCAACTTTTGCGTTCAATCACGCAGGGTTGCACGAAAAACAAAAAATTAATAAAAATTAAAATATCAAAATATAAGAAAATATCAAAATATTCTCCATAAAAAGGTATTTGCATTGTTCAACTTTGAATTCTACTTTTGGTTGAACGGCCTTTCAACTAATCGCTTTCAACAGGGTTGGTCGCCAGCTGAACCAGTGATGGAAAGTAGGCCCAATAGTACCATTTTTGGCACTTTTGGCACAGTTCATCCTGTTCTGTCACAATCATAAATATAGAAATTTAGCATATAATGTCAATATATAAAAAAACTCACACCACATTATAAATTAAAAAATTACAAAAAGTGCAATTAAAAGCCCTAAAAATTTAAACTAAATGCCGTGAGAAATATTTACAAACTGAAGACGCAGTACGAAAAGTAAGTTTACGCAACAACAAGCTTTTAATTAAGAATTTTTAGAAATATTCTAAGATTGCAGTTTTATAGGCCATTAAATAAAAGTGTAAGTTTCTGCAGTATCCCGATGATTTTTGATTTTAGTTTCCGACAGTGTCATACATCTATTTAAAAAATTTTCGTACACCTTTTATATGGGAAAAAATGCATAAAATCGAAAACCTGTGTTCTCCCTAAAAATTCTGAATTCAAAGCTTGTTGCGAAAACCTGCTGAGTTTTTATAATATCTGTTCAAAGTTTGAAATGCCGATTTTTGTACATTTATTGTGTTTATTAAATTATGAGTTAGACTTTTATATAAAATCTGTCAAAAAATACTCAAAAAAAAATGGCGAAACTGGTAAAAATGCCTTATTACCATTATTTCGCATGTAGGTACTTACATATGTGTATAAAAATGTCAGAATAGCTATATTTGGGTATGTTTCCCGTCCGTAATAGGAATTCTAGAATTGGAATCCTTAATAAAAGTGATTTACTGTAGTAATTAATAATTATTGTATTTCTTCACTATTACTATTATTTCTAAAAATATATTCCTTTTAAAGCGTCTTAAAAGAAATTAAATTTTGTGGCACTTTCATCTTCTTTTCGGCACTATTTTTGAAGACCATCAGCACATTTTGAAATTCATACCTGAGTTGAACTCAAAATTGCCTCGTGCAAACACCTTTTGAAGTAAAAAAATGCTCAGCTGTCCCATTCTTGAGCTGACCCGCTTTCACAATCTTTTTCTCAAAACCGGTTGCAAATACAAAGTCGAATTTATGCTTGATTTTGTATTATTGGTTGAAGGTAGCTAAAGCAACTCTACACACAACTGGCAATTATTTATCGATAAATCGGTTAAGTCAGAATACTTTCATCTGGCAGCTCCCTTGTTAACAAACAAACGTCAAATGAAAATTGTGTGTGTCTGGTGCTTGCGAACGAAGAAAAAACCCAACTCAATTTTGTAACTTCATATTTTTTGTACAAAGTAGAAAAATTTTATATTTTTCGAAAATTTTCACATTCTTAATAAATGAAGTGAATCCGCAAAGAGAGCGCGTAGAAAAGGGTATTCGCATATGAACTAATAGCACGGAGCAGGCATGAGTATTGCAAGTTGAAAAACTGAAAAGATGAATTAAAAGGGGGGAAATCGGAGTCTATTTTCACTGCATGTCCTCGCCAGGTGTTGCAAGAAGGTAGGTGGGTCAAATAAATGGAGTACTAGAGTTTAAAGATGTTTTGTGTAACAAGAGGTTGTGGGGTGGGATGAATTAGCGGCAGCCTACGCGAAGTTGCTGCGCTAAGCGGAGATGGATTTTTGTGAGCCGATCGCGTTTTGCAGTTGATGAATGGGGAAGTGTGTTCCTAACCTCAAACCAGCACAGTGTTGGTTCGGTGTATTGACAGCAACGAATCTCATCGGTAATTGTGTGAGTGCTATGTGTCGTTACGCGAACGGGGTACGGTCGGTGTGCTATGCGATATGTAGTGAGCGTGCACCGTGCGGCTATTGTGGTGATGGTCGCACCGACGACGTCAACGGCCGAAGTGGAAAATCTACTTCACAAATCGGGTTTGTTGAATATATTCCTTTTTCTTAAACTTTTTCGATTCGCTAAAAACGTGATTGTGGCAATAACGATGGGATGGCACGGAATGATTGTACCCCGTGGATAGAGGGGGTCGCGCTATAATGTGTGTTTTTACCTCATTTCCCCCTTCAAATGTAATGATGTTCGATTATGTGCACATGGCAGCGGTCACAGTGCGCTGTAGCTTTGCACGGAGCCCACCTATGCAGCATACTCGTATTTGGCATTCCATTCAATATCATTTCAATACTTGTCTCTTCAGCTTCTCACAAATTTCGAAACTATTCAATAAATTTTTAGTCGCTTACTATGTTTTACAAATTTGATCATACCAAAAGTTGGATCACTGTTGAAAGTAACCTAGCCACATGGTACAAACGCGACGTTGCTGACTTATCATCGTCACCACTTAATCGCCGTCGTCATAACCATAATCGTAACGTCTAACCTCAGCGAATGGCTCTGGTGTATTGTACATAATTTCTTTGGGAGTTTAGGGGCAGAGAAAGGCGACTATGTATTAATTTATGCAAATTTATCTTTTAACTAGGAGGTCAAAGCGAAAACGAGTAAAAAGAAACTAATGAATATTCCAAAGCATTTTCAAAACTTCAAAATTAGCTTTGCCTTTTGTCTCCCGCTATATGCTGCTGTAACAACAACGTGGCGCTCTGCGAGTTATGCCACTCAGGTCTTCTGTATAATGGGAATATGTCATTAACGTATGTACATACATATGTACGTACGTACTTATGGTTCAAAATAGTTTCCACTTGGTTTAGTTACTTACTGGCCAAAATAATTTGGAATACTGGATGCATAATTGCCATGCAGCACTCAATACATAGCAATATGTCACTTATTTTTTAAATGATGTAAGAAAAAATTTATTGTCAACAAAAGGATATGAAATTATTATCATGATTCTTGCGTTTTATTGACTAATTTTTAAATAGTGTCACTCCATCACTCGCGTTTTTTTTCAGGAGTATTAATAAAACCTAGATAATTAAAGGTACCATTTATTCTTACTGAAATTTGAAATTATTTGAATTTGTGGAATTTTTAATTAGTGTCAGTCCATCACACGCGTTTTATATTATCAGGAGTATTAATGAAACCTAGATAATTAAAGGTCACATTTATTCAATTTATTTAACACTTTTGGAATTTTTTTACAGATTTTGTATCCATACCCTCTCGTCAGCGATCTTTTGCTTTGCATAACGTGCAGCACACATAAATATAAAAATAAATACAGGTATATTTTTGCATTGAAGCCAAGTTAAATTACAATATAAGACAATTCAGCTAATTAACGATCAAACAGCAACAACACAAATTGGTCGCAATAGTAGTGGGAACTATTTGAGCTGCACCACAAACACCTGCGTATAAAAAGTCTAACAATGCATATAAAAAATTTACAACACGCTCATGCGGCTTCGGCTGCTATGGGAGGAATTGTGATTGTGTCATCGTCGACAAATAATACCACAAATAATGCTAACAATAACAACAACAATACCGACAGCAGCAATAACAATAATGAAAACACCCAGGTAACACATCATCAGCAGCAGCAACAACAATCCCAACAACAACAGCAGCAGCACCAGGCCGCAAGTGCAGCAGAAATTCCGATTCCGTTCAATATGCATCTGACTGCAGCTAATTCAGAAGCTCATGTTGCAGCCCAAGCGGCAGCTATGGCTGCAGCACAAGCAGCTGCCGCACAAGCCGCCGCCGCCGAGCAACAGCAAGCGGCAAATGGTGGCAATGGAGGAAGTGGAGCTACCACTATATTGCAGCAACATCCTTTAGCGCACCTAGTAGCCACAGCGGCTCATAGTCCAGCGCTCTCAGAGCACCATTTTCCGGCGGGGCGCGAAGTTGTAGCCAATGGACATAGCGCAGGCAGTAGTGCGAGCGGAGGAGGTGGTGGCGGCAGTGGCGGCGGCAGCGGAAGCAGCAGTGGGGGCGGCCATGAAAAACCTTTCCTTTGTAGTGTATGCGATCGGCGGTTTCGGCAATTGAGCACACTCACTAATCACGTGAAAATACATACCGGAGAAAAACCATACAAATGCAACGTTTGTGATAAGACCTTCCGTCAATCGTCCACTCTAACAAATCACCTTAAGATACACACTGGTGAAAAGCCGTTTAATTGCACCTATTGTCCGAAGAATTTCCGACAGCTGAGTACACTAACGAACCATGTGAAAATCCATACTGGTAGGTATAGATTGGTCATTGGTATCACATAAATAACAAGTAATTTTTAACCCTAGAATACTAACCTTAATTTTTATTCCCGTAATTCTAACGTTCGACTGTGAGACTACTTTGAAAAAAAGTACAAATTTTGTCTTTTTAAAACCTTAAATTTATTTCAGAAATGGGCTTAAATATATTTCATATGTTTCTAAATTAAAAAATAGAATGATTTAATATTTTTTAATATTAATAAAAATAGTTCGTATTGAAAAATAACACATATTTTATCATCTTTTTGAAAGGGGTAATTTAAAAAAATAAAAAATTAAATATTTTAAAGCGAACGAACTCAAATAATCCACAAATTATCTTAAAGGTATTCGTATTTACTGTCACACTTAATAGGAATTAATTGTTTTTCTTTTCCATTGTGACTTGTACCTACAAATGAAATCGACTTTTTTGCGTTAAGAATAAAAACTAAGCGATTAGTTTTTCTTAAAATTTCAGACCTACGTAAATTTATTTGAATATATCTAGCAAAAGGTTTGAAATCTTAAGAAAAAGTAACTGCTTATTTTCTTTATTCATAAGGCCCATTCACTGAATTCTTCTTCGGAATTGTCCTCACTATCATTTCCATTGAACGATATTTCTTCCAACCATTTTAGAATTTGTTCTTCATAGTTACCCCTCTCGAAAATAAAAGAAAAATAAAGTTCAAAACAAAAAATAGCCAACAAACATGTTCAAAATTGAAATAATAATAATAATAAAATCGCTCCTGAAATATCGCGAGAAAACTGAATTCGTTCCGCCTAACAGGCGAACGTTAGTGTTCTACAAAAAATATACTTTCTTTTTTTTCTCTATTTTAGGTGAAAAGCCCTTCGAATGTGCCGTTTGCAAGAAACAATTCCGTCAATCCAGTACTCTCAATAACCATATAAAGATCCACGTCATGGACAAGGTGTACGTGCCAGTTAAGATAAAGACGGAGGAGGAGGAAGGATGACTAGAGGATATGGTGATCGCAGGCACCCATCAGCGGCCTGCGCATCACCATCGTAATGTAATCACAACAACTATACAGGCACCAGTAACATCAGCGGCTGCAGTAGCTGCCGCCGCTGCTGCAGTCAACCACCATCAACATCAGCAACTGCATCAACAACACCAACAACAACAACACCAGCAGCAGCATAACCACTCCAACACTCTAAATAATGGCAACACGATAATAGCAACAGCCGCTGCTCCGTCCAATGCAATCGAACATTTTAACGTTACATCTATTGGGGAATTGTCAAACGTTCAATTGAGCAGTATCAATGCGCAGCTAGTGGGTGGCACTGTCACCGCCGATGGCAATCTAGTAACCATGGGAGGTGTTGTCATCGGACGCATACATCCGGCATCTCTGCAAAGCAATGGGCATACACTACAACCGCAATTACGCACTACAGCACAGCCGGCTACTCGAGAGGAGCTACAGCAGTTGGGCGTGATTAAGGTAGAGTCGCCAGCCGCTGAGTTTCAGAATGAAGGATGAGTCGAGTACGAGTTACTGCTTGAGTACATGCTCAAGGAGGACGAGGAGGACTACGCAGCCGCTTGCAATGAGAATAAAGTAAATGCTTGCAGTGACATATTAAAAGATGGATTAAAGACCAATGAAATTTGTAGTGACAGGGCTGCCAGTGGTGAAAGTGCTGGTAATGGCACGCTTACAAGTGCGTGTGACGCTGATAAACAAAATTAGAGCGAGTTTCTTTATCTTGCAGTTGTAGTTGTTGTTGCTATTGTTGCTAGTTATTTAAAAAGATATACAAAAGTAAAGAAAAGCTAACTAAATAAATATCATATTCACTTGAATACATTTGCTGTCAAACATCATCGTCGTCATCATACTGAAAATGTAAAACTGACATCCTTGAAATCCCAATTACCAGACAAAAACTAAAATCATTACACTGGATTAAATACACATGAAATAGCTTGGGATTGCGGATGCTTTTTGAAACGTAAATATTTAAAAACAAAATTAACGAATCAATTAGAAATACTAAAAAATATGAAAATCAAAGAAAAATCAACCTCTGTAGTAGTTAAGTCTGAAAGTAGCAACAAACATGATAAGCAAGCAGAATAGAAACAAAAAAGTTAAATCTAAAATTTAATTTTAATAATAATAGGGGAAACTTATTTTACGGGGGTTAGTAAAAAGATCAAGCACAACAAATGCTTAAAAATAATTTGCCGTGTTTTTTAGAGCAAAAATGTGTTATGAAGTTTGTTAGAAATTCTAAGCTTTGAGATATAACATTGAGTTCATGTTAAATAAGCTTTCATAGGGAAATACCAGGTTGTTTTATCCACTTTAGTGTAGTATAACTTCGCGATAAACAAATTCTTTCCAAAGTATAGCACTAAATTTCTGATAATATGGTCATGGTTTGCGTCCTTCTGCTCTTACAAATCAACTCTGAATTCATAACAAAATTCATAGCATATTGACAACTCAAAAATGTGGTAGAATAATTGTAATTTAAATTTACTAGGAAGGCTTACTTTGTATTTTAGTTTAATAACACAGCAAATGAGACTTGTTTGTACTTGAAGCTAAAAACTACTTTAGAATAAAAATGCCTAAAAGAAGTCAAAGTGGAGGAAATTTCTGTATAAGATGAAATTGCTTTTTGTTAACCTTTTTTGGCATAAACAACAAAATTATGGTGAATATTTGTTTGAATTGTATGAAACATAACCTTCTTAAGGCAAATTTTAATTTATTACTAAGTTTAGACTAAAGTTTTTGAATTTTTGTAGATATAAAAGTTACTAGTATTTCCACAATTTTGTTGGCTTATGAAATTATTTTAAATTATTTCATATATGCCAGCGTGTGTGTATATGCGCAAAGGAGGTGTGAAAATTATTTGAAAATAATAGAAATTTAAATGAAACTAAAAAAACGTTTATTCTGTTTTATAGCAATTTCATGTTAACTACTAAAAGAATGGTGAAACTAAACAGATGTATATACAAATGCAGTAAAAAACGTTTTAAAAATGTATAAGAATTTCGTTGCAACTTGTTATTAGTCAACATCTAAATCTGTTATGATTTACCTTCCCGCAATTTTTGTAAATTTTATTCTCTTGAATGGGATATGGGAAATTTAAGTGGTTCATACGAAATTAGTAGTTTTCGGAAAATTCTTAGTTTGTTTGTATTTCACTAAATCGGAGTATAATATATGCACAAAAGTGTATACAAAACTGGTACGTTTAAAACAAGTGCAGATATTTAGGATCATCACCTTTGGGCCTGTAAAATAAAGTAGAATGGCATAGAAAGCTTAAAACTTTTAAAAAGTTATTGCGCATGTGCCACACTTCAACGTCGTCGTAGATACATGCATACATACATATGTATAAACATATATGCTAGTAGGTGAATTGTCTGTCGCGCCATACAGACATATAAGTCATTTATTGTGAGTGTGCATCGCCTAACACAACAATCGATTAAGAAGATAATACATATATGTATATGATGAAACAGCTTATCAAAAACATGTAAATGTAAAGGTACATTTATGAATTTGATTAAATACCATGTACATCATATTAACAAACATCAAAGTGTATAAAGAAAAATGTTGTAAACGCATAATTAAATAATTAAGAAAGCAAGAGGTAAAACTTTAGTGGTATTTGTAAGTTTTGTTATACGAGTATTTTAGGTGGACGCCAAGTAGGCAGCGTGGAGAGTTATACATACGTCGTATGAAGGGCTGCGAAGTGTCAAGGTATGATCGCGAATAGATATAGAAGAGGAAAGACTCGTAATTTCGATTAGCCGAAGCTTGAAATTACGGTTAGTCGTCATCTCATTTGACGTTGTGATTGTCAAAGGGATGGACACAACTGAAAACTGAAACTGATAATAATAAATTCTAATAATATTATTAATTAAAAAACTAGCACTGCGATGCCTAAACGTTTTCCTTTTATTTTGTAAAAAATCGTAAAAGTTACTTTAGACAATTGCTTACTTGTAAACATTATTACACATACAATTTAAGTACGAAGACATGTATATGTTAATACTTTCCGATTGTAAACAATACAACTTTTGAGACTATAAAAACTCACGAGAATACACAAAGATTACACCTTTCGTTGCGTTCTCTTTTATTTTAAAGTTAAGTTTCAGCGTCAATTGTGAATAGTATTAAAAATGTCGTTACATATTGTCACATTATGTTGTTATTGGGACAATATTTGGGTTTATCAGTGACACGCTAACACCATCATAATCAAGGCGTATTTAACAAGGTGGTGTTGGCCGTATATAAGTAAAAAATTACACTAACAAATTATACGCTGATGTCCATAGTGTCATTGGTATGAGTTACAACAAACACATCATTTTGACGTAATGGCCTCCACGGCGAAAAACTCAGCTGTCGCCCCAACACCACCTTGTTTAATACACCTTGATCATAATTTAAAAACTAATAGATACCTAGCAGCTAGCAGCTAGCAATTTTACCAAGATATGTATGTACGTATGTGTATATACATACGTAAAAATATTAAATCGATTTGGAACATAATAGAACCAGCCGTAGTAAACCAGCCGTTGACAATATGCTTATTTGAAAATTAATACATGAAATATTGTGAATGCATAGGATTTTTTTGTCATTAACCCATAGGCAACGACTGATGCAAAAGTACCCACAAACGCTTTTTGATATATTTGAAATGTAAATTCGAACAGCAAAATTCGTAAAAAAAAATTAATAAAACCAAAAATTTTTTTGATAACTACGTGGGAGGTTGGCGTGGTTATTGGCAGATTTCGACAAAATTTAACACGAACCTAAATTATACCAAAGGCAACTTCGAGGCCTACTTTCGTTAAAATATATAAATTTTGTTCGAGTTAGCGTGCTGAACCAATTCGTGTTGTCATTCTGAATATTTTGATATATACGTATGCATATGTGTATATATGTACATTAGACTGCATCACTCCCCAAAAAAATAAATAATTTAATAATCGGTGCTATTTTTCCATTGGAATTATAAAATCTATTATATTTTAAGACGTCCACCAAAATATTTCGGAAAAATATTAAGATTTAAGTGAGCTGGACCGATTTGAAAATACCTCTAAAAATGGAATTTTATATAAATAAAAAAGTTTCTTAAAGATTTTTTTTTTGAAAAAATCCCCTCAAATGTCAAAACGGTTTAAGCTTAAAAAATTTGCTTTTCATCTTAGGGGACTTTTTTCAAAAAGTTCTTTGAAACTAGGTTTATCCATAAGAAACTCCATTTTTGGAGGTATTTTCAAATCGGTCCAGCTCACTAAAATCTTAATATTTTTCCGAAATATTTTGGTGGACGTCTTAAAATATAATAAATTTTGTAATCCCGGCGAAAAAACCGCAACTTTTTTTGGTGATGCAGTTAATGTACATACATCTTATACGGTTAACAAAAGCGTTTGCTTATCTGCATAAACCGTCTTTACTTGCATTAATTCATGCATTATCCTCTTTCAAATGTGAATAAGCGGCTGAACAAATACATAAAAATTTCGTGCATTTGAAAATTAGAGTTCGACCTTAAGCAAAGTAATACTTGTTTTACCGCCTCATCGATGGGACCATTTTACAAAGTCAGCCCACCACTATTCACTCAAAGTTTTGTTCGGAACACGGTCATAATCGCTTACGCTTGATTTGCTTGGAATTTGGTTTTTCTCGTTATTTTATTTTATGTGACTTGAAAATATTTTTCAATATAAGGAAATATTTAAATTGGATTTCATTTGGGTTAACGAAAACGACAACTGTGAAAAAATATCAACCAATACATTCAAACAAAATGTAAAATAAGCATATTTATATTTTTTGTTTTGGCTATCTGGATTACTGTATACTGTTTGTATTACTTACTTGCAACAATTTAATTGTACAAAAATTTTAGGATCTACATATGAAGCCTGGCCGAAAATTAAAT